CGAGCGCATATTCACCACGCTTGCGCTCCCGCTCCCGCCCACGCTCACGATCACGCTCCCGCTCTCGCCGCCGACAGCCCTCGGCAGCTGGAGTACAACCGATCGAGCTTCAATTCGCTTTTCCACCCAACGCAAAACGGCCGGCTTTTGCTCGCGACATATACATATACATATACAGAACAAACCCCCGAAATATATATTTGAAGAACCCGGACTCTAACGCCTTTTATCTTGGGACTCTCTGGTGGACACCCTGAGACGCCTCTTCGCTCAAACAGTATCAAAGCATCTTGATTGATGAGTGCGAGAAAATCCAATCAGCAGTTATAAGTCTGTTAATAGATATTAATAATGGTAGGTTAAATCCTAATATCTTAAAACCTATGCAGTTGAAAAAGGAAATTACCAAAATAAAAAATAGTTTATTAGAAACATTAGTTCTTCCAGGAAAAAGAACAGGAACGGAATTAAAAAAAATGTACTGTCTTTTAACCGCAGATATTTAGAAGATATTTAGTATACAATTTTGAAATTGATTCATATCATTCGATGACTGAGGCTACCTTGAATAAATGCCAAAAATGGTAGACAAATAAAAGAGTATGTGAAGGTAATTGGCGTTCAAACCAAAAGGTCATTCAAATTGTGTATATAGAAAAGTAGCAGAGACCAGGTCCTTTTAGGTCGAATTAGAAAAGAAAGGTAGTTGGCTCTTCAAAGTTCCAGTAAACACTAATGCCAGAATTCAATGTAGTAACTTAAATCAAGAACTAATTGATCTTCCTCAAAAAGGAATCTTAACAATAATAAATGGCTGTACTGTGCGAACAGATGATAAGATATTAGTACCTCATCACAGTGTAAGGGAGTGCCCTTACGAGGGGTATGTATATATGTAAATAGAGGGAGGTAGAAGCTCATTTTTCATTTATTATTATTTTTCATAGTTCGTAAGTTATTTCATATCCAGCCTAGCATTAAGTCTTTTCATTTCTTACACCTAGTCATAATAGCTGTACATAGTGGCGAATAAGGGCAGAAGGAAAGACATCGTAAATTCGTCGGGCAAGACGTGACCAGGAAACAACCACCGCAATGGTCATCTCTGACAGGCCCACAAACACAGCCACAGCAAAGAACAAGTGACGTCACACCTGACGAACGATAACAGCAGGCCACGATCTACACATACGTTACGATCCGAAACGGCGCACCACAGCAGAGAGAGCAACTTCGCTCAAAAATGCGGCCCAGCAACAAAACGCAGTGGCCGAGCAGCAAGCAGAGGAACGAAGGCTGAGCAGCGGCTCGCAGCAGAGACTCTCAACAGAGGGTGGACTCACCCCCACACAAGGAAAAGAGGGAGTCGAAAAGTGCGGCTCGAGAGTTAAGTGGAGATCGCCTACGAGACCAGTCGTGTTCGCGGAAATTCAGAACCCGTGCCCTGCCGCCAAAAGTGGCCACGCTTACGAGGCATACACACAGGGGACAACGCAACAAACAAACGAGCCGCCCGGGATACCAGGCCGTGGAAGGGGTAAGCTAGCCTCACTTAAGTGAGTAGGGAACAATAGCGGTGCGATAGGTAGGGTGTAGGGGTTTATTAAATAAAATACAGAGCGAATGAACCAAATTTATCCGGTTTATTCTCCTGGGAGCGAACTGGGAGCTCATACTAGTAACCCCGACCCCTTTCCAACCGCGATTGTGGTCCAGTTGATTCACCAAAATCCCAACCTCAACTTACAGAAGCCGGACGCGGAAGCACGTCAGCTGTTAGTAATCCCTCCCCCCTTCCTCCGTAGCTATTTCCCTTTAGTTTGGAGAGTCAGTCTGCGGCACTGGACGTGGAAACACGGTGCCCGTAGGTCTGATCTTCCCTTTTCCCCGTTGTAACTGCCCCTCTCCACACGTCCGCCCTCGCATTCCCATGCATCGGTGCGACAGTCATACAGATCTTCTCGAGGTTCCGCAGCAAATAAAAATCTTGCTGTAGTGGATCGGGCCTTTGCCAGACTGAGAGGCTATACCCCAGCGGAATTTCCTTACAACAGTCTTCATACAGAAAGCTATGAGACAATCTCATCCTCTTATATAAGTAATATAAGTAAGATACCAAAAATTGCTTGGAATCCATTAAGAGTACCTTCTTCAACCATACGGAAGAAATTGATAAATTAAAAAAGGAATTAAAATTGTTAAAAGAAGGTCATCACGAATTAAAAGGACTTAAGTTCCATCATGTATTGTGACACATGCCGTAATTATCGGACTAATAATAATGTTAATATTAATTAGATATACCATAAGAAAAATGAAAGTATCAAGAAGACTGCAATCAATAGCTCTTCCCTACCCACTGTAAATTATCTTAAATTATCATCAATAATTATGATTCTAAATAATACAAGAAGGTAAATAAAAATACTTTACTAAACCTTGCCACCTTCGGGCCTTTCCAACATGAACATGTCGATGTACCAGTAGATTAAGAAAAGATTTGAATGAAAGGGCAAAGATGTGTGGTAATAAATACGCGACAAGCAACGCACAAGTGGAGATCCCACTTATCAAATGTAGAGCTAAGCATTAATGTTGTATGCAATGCGTTGCATGCACTCAAACAACCCCCACATTAAATGTAGCCGTTCCATGGGTCTAGCGATCAGAATAGAATATCAATGGTACCACATACATTGTTTGTAAACTGATATAAGGTTCTGATTTTAAGAGTAAAATTTAGTTTGAATTTACAACTCAACTCGCAAATGTCTAGACTTTTCTTTAAGGTCTTAACAATAGCAAAGGTTAAGGATAACGAGAATCACTTACTTAAGCCTTGTGTTAATTTCGCCATGACAACTAAAGGAACAACTCGAGCAGATACGGAATCACTTAAAGCCGGGACAAATTCTCCCAGTAACTCCCGAAAATATGCTGATAGTGTATCAGATGATGAAAGCTGAAGGCACGATTATATATGATCATGCAAGAGTTGTTTCAAGCGACGTCTTCACCCCGGACAGGCCCCCAACTGAAAATGGGATAAGTATGTTTGAAGTTAAGACACCATACATGACGCATCATCAAAGGTCACCGAGACGAATTCGTTGAACTCTCATAGAGTGATCTTAAAAAATGCCATCCGAGAATTTTACAGGTAGGCACTCAACATGCAAATACAGAGAAGGAATTTAAACATAATAGTAAAAAAAGGTTTAAGGTCAACGTTTACCTTTTTAAGGTAAAGGTTTGGAAAAAAACTACCTCTAAACTATCACATCAGATATAGTTCAAGGAGATGAAAAACCTGTTTGACAGTGTTTTCGAAGAGCCTGAGTGAGGGGAAGGATCAAAGGGTAGAACTCGTTTAGAGAGAGAGAGGGAGAATGTAAGGATTGATTTTGATTTGTCACAATTTTCAGGTAAAAAAAAATCGATATTGATTTTACAGAATTTCCAGAGGAGAAAAGAACTTAGTTCACATTTTCACCGATAGGTGGCGCCACCAAGTAGTAATGAAATGGTCCCTTCTACGTGTTGCGAGTAAATCCTAAATTCGCAACATGTTGCTTAAGGATGTGAAACATGATATTTGATTCAACAACCCTATTCTCAGCAACATGTGGTTTTCAAATAAATGGTTTCAGTTTCTGATATTTACCATGATCATGTTCAAAATAAATATTTTTTCATATTGTTTTGGGAAAATAAATGGTTTCAGTTTCTGATATTTACCATGATCATGTTGAAATAAAATAATTTATAAAAATATATATGGTTTTAGTTTCTGATATTTACCATAATCATATCCTTCAAGAGTAGAGTTACCTATATTTATATATAGGATGTGCAATCAATGAATAAAAGTATAAGATGAATGCAAAGAGAACTTTTTATAGTAAATATACGAAGAAGGTCCCTTTTCATTACTACTTGGTGGCGCCACCTATCGGTGAAAATGTGAACTAAGTTCTTTTCTCCTCTGGAAATTCTGTAAAATCAATATCGATTTTTTTTTTACCTGAAAATTGTGACAAATCAAAATCAATCCTTACATTCTCCCTCTCTCTCTCTCTAAACGAGTTCTACCCTTTGATCCTTCCTCTCACTCAGGCTCTTCGAAAACACTGTCAAACAGGTTTTTCATCTCCTTGAACTATATCTGATGTGATAGTTTAGAGGTAGTTTTTTTCCAAAGCATTTACCTGTAAAAGGATCTCGTTGACCTTAAACCTTTTTTTACTATTATGTTTAAATTCCTTCTCTGTATTGTATTCCCAACACTGTCCTATAGTTGAGTGCCTATATAATAGCTACTCACAGCTATAAGCTATTACAGAAACTAGTAAACTGTATACAAAGATGGATAACCTAGAGGTCATTTTTATTGAGTCGCAACCGGAGGAAACCATAAATCTGGATTCTCAGCCAGACTCCGTGGACCTGTCACTGATTTTTAGAATTAAAACCCAAAATTATCTCGAGAGGAATTGGAATCCTATTAATGAGATTAAATGGGATGATGATAGTGAGGATGATGACCTCATGATATCATCACAATACATTTTTGAGGAATATGTCGGTGAGGACTCCATGACTGAAACGCCATTCGTTTTTCCGGATGATGATCATATTTTCGATTTGGTCGATGATCAAGACTGCGGTGAAAGGGATCGACTCAGGGATCTACTTCGGGATGAAGATGACGCTGAGTTAATAGCGGCGTTGGAAAGAACTGAGGCTGGATTTAAATAAGGCGAGAAAGCATATGTATAATAAAAATATTCGATGTATTTTTCTAATCATAATATTATATACATACATACATAGGTATAATAAATAGAATACTACATTTAAGAAATTTATTTTCAATGTTTCCTTACTTCTGATTGGGTGAATTTCACTTCCTACTATTACATGTTACATCCCCCAGAGAATCATAGGATTCGTTTGAAACAGGTTTTCCAAGCGAGGATTACACAAAAGAATAAGTGCATTTCAGGTATAGGTACCTGGTATTGAATGTATTTATTGGTTGAATTTCACATCCTATTATTACATAGTCAGCAGAAGAAATCGTTTTGAAACCGGTTTTAAACGAGTACTGAACCTGTTGAATACAAAAGACTGAGTAGGCGTTAGGCAGATAAATAGAACGCTTTTTATGAAAAACTCTTAGTTCTCTTCTAATAGTGAAAGTGATCAAACAAAATATAAAAATTTCAAAATGAATCCCGAAATCGCGTGCACTATGTGTTCAGAGTTTGTTAAATTAACAGAGTTCGCCTCTCACTACGACAGTTGCGTAGGACCGCGGATTCCGATTGAGTGCAATCTATGCTATAAATCCTTAGAGGGAACAGAGATCGACTCTCATTATGAGAGTTGCTTAGGTCCCCAGAAAAAAGTTGAGTGCGATCTATGTTTGAATTTCCTCGACTTAGCAGAGCTAGACTCTCATTATGAGGTATGTTCTGCTCAAAGAAATGCTTTCAACGTGCTAATGAGGAAATCTTCTTCGACAACTGACCTCCGAGAACAGTCAACTTCAAGATCTTCAAAACGGCCTAGAATGAATGCACCAGCGGAAAACATTGACTGTGCAATATGCGGTGAGAGTTACACTCCCTCGAAGGAAAAGCGCCATATTATGTCTGAAAAGCATAAGAATGCCGCTGCAGACCAAATACATAACAATCCTAATATTATCAACCTGGCATCAAACTCGAAATTTCCCATAAAATCATATCGGGTTCAATCCAGTAAAAGTAATCGGATTGACTTAAAAGATTTTTATAATGATTGTAAAAATGATATAATCAATTTACTTAATTGTTGTTTGAGCGAGTACAGAGCCGTAAAGTTCAATTTAAAAGTATATGGTCTGTATGTCAAGCAAACTGATGATGAAACCTTGACAGAAACAATGAAGCATTTCATAACTTCATACAAACCCATATATGAGCAAGAGTTCATTGATGAACACTTAAATAACGCTCTGGAAAACCTTATAACTTTAAGCAGCGAATTCCAGGAGAAGGATTCAGGTTGGGCTATAAAAAATTTTAAATATTTTGAGTTAACAATAATTAAACTGGAACACATCCCTGCAAGGGGGTATATAGAAGCTCCTAAAAAAATAAAATCACGAAATGCTATCATCAATGTTAAAAATGTAGATGATTTTTGTTTCAAGTGGTGTATTTTAGCATCATTAGCATATAAAAGACATGCAGAAACTACATTTACAAGATCAGTTGAAAAAAGGTTGGCTCGAGACAAATTAGCAATCCCATCAAGCTATCGCATTTTAAACATAAACCAGGAAATAATTCATTATAACGGTTTTAGACTCGATTTTTCTGAGATTGAGTTTCCAATAACAAGCAAAGGAATAAAGCGATTCGAAAAAGCCAATGAGGATTTCAGCATCAATATATATGAAATTGATGATAATGGTAAAAACGTTGTGGGACCCACAGTGAGGACTAATAAAATTCGTCCTAATCATATAAACTTGCTAGGCATCAATAGTGATATGCAAATGATGCATTATGCCTATATAACGTGCATGAAGAAGTTATGCTATTCCCAACATAGTAAATCTCATAGTGCAGCATATTTTTGCGATAACTGTTTGCAATTTTATAGTACTACAAATACTATTCACGACACTAAGGAGTGTGGAAAAGTTGCGGCTCTATATCCAGAACCCAATACTAAAACCATATTTAAAAGTTGGTCGAAAAAACTTTCACCCCCAGTCGTAATTTATGCTGACATCGAAGCTGTTTTGGAAAATTTCCATAGAAATCTTAATGATCCCTCCAAATCATCGACTACTATGGCGCAGAGGCATACAGCATGTGCAGTTTCATTTTATGTTGCACATAAATACAATCCTCATCTAAATGAGATGTGGACATATGAAGGTAAATATTATAAAATAAATAAATAAATATAAATAAACTCTAAGCATTACGACTTCGTTATTTCAGGACCTGATTGTATTGAAAAATTCTGTCAAGTGCTTAGGGCTAAAACTGATGGCCTTTATGAGAAGTACTGGAAATCTAGTAAAAAGCCCATATATGAATTCAATATTTGGGATGAAGACTGTCAGGAACACGAAGCGTGCTGTGCCTGCGATGAGCAAATTTTGGTTGATGATCGTGAAAAATACTTCAATCAATTCACGGGCCAATATGTAGGGCCTATTCATAAGGTCTGTAAGCAAACATTTAGATTAAGCGATCCCTTTTTCCCTGTAGTGTGTCACAACTTGTCTCGATATGACATCCACTTATTTGTAACATCGATAAGAGATGAATTGAAACCCATTCCTTGCAATAAAGAGTTATATATTGCGTTAACTCAAACTTGCAAGCTTGATTCACATCTTCATCAATATAAAATAAGATACATAGATTCAAATAGATTTTTAAATTCGAGCTTAGAAAAACTTGCTAGCTATATGGATGTATCCAATTTCAAAATATTGAACAGCAAATATCAAAACGAAAAATTTGACATGCTACGAAGAAAAGGAGTATTTCCCTATGACTATTTAGATAGTTTTCAAAAATTTGAGGAATCCCAGCTCCCTTCAAGGGAATATTTTTATAATTCTCTGAATGATGAGGAATGTAGCGTGGAAGATTATAACTTTGCTCAGAGCGTGTGGAGAATGTTTAACTGTACTAGTATTAGAGATTACTTAAAATTATACTTGGAAAGCGATGTTCTAATTCTTGCCGATGTATTCGAAAATTTTAGAACTCTTTGTTCACGAGTATACAGACTAGATCCCATTAATTATGTTACTGCTCCTTCAGTTTCATGGGATGCAATGCTTAAATACACAAAGATAGAATTGGAACTTATAAGTGATCCTGATATTTATAACTTTTTAAAAACTGCAGTCCGGGGAGGGTTGACTCAATGTACCCAAAGGATCGCTACAGCAAATAACAAATACTTAAATGACAAATTCAAGTCTAGCGATCCTATAAACTACCTGACATATATTGACGCCAACAATTTATATGGATGGGCTATGAGTCAACCACTTCCATATTCCAATTTTAAATTTCTAAGTAATAATGAAATTTTATCTTTCAACGCTCTTAATATATCAGCCAGAGGTAATATAGGATACATATTAGAAGTAGATCTGAAATATCCTAAAAATGTTCATAATAAACATAATAGTTTACCATTCTGCCCCGAAAATAAAATTCCGCCAGGAGGAAAGCAGCCCAAATTAATAGCTGATTTATCAGATAAAAAGAATTATATAATACATTTAAAACAGCTGCAGTTATGTATAGAGCAAGGTATGATTGTAGAAAAAATATCTCGAATACTATCTTTTAAACAGTCCTGTTGGTTAAAGCCTTATATTGACCTAAATACAACACTAAGAAAATTAGCTGTAAATGAGTTTGAGATAAACTTTTTTAAATTAATGGTCAATGCCGTATACGGCAAAACGATGGAAAATGTAGAAAAGCGTCGTGAGGTTGCATTAGTCAAAAATTATGAATCCAGACAGAATTCCGCAGGGTTTAGACAACGCATAGCTAGACATAATTTTCACAGTGTTGAAGTCTTTGGAGATAATTTAGCTGCAATTGAATCAACTAAATCAAAAATTTATTATGATAAACCCATATACATTGGAGTTAGTGTATTAGAACTTTCAAAATGGTTAATGTACGACTATTTCTATAATTTCCATTCTGTAAAATGTCCATCATCAAAAATACTTTATATGGATACAGATTCATTTATTATATCATCAGAAGAAGATTTTTATGAACTAATTAAAGACAATCCTAGTCGCTTTGACACATCAAACTATCAAACCTCAAACAGATTCGGTATACATCGTGCTAATAACAAGGAACTAGGTTTAATGAAAGACGAAAATGCAGGTCGGATAATGACCTCTTTTGCAGGATTAAAAGCAAAAGCATACTCATATTTAGTTGCAAAAGATGATAGCTCTGACTTTGATAACGTAAAAAAGGTTAAAGGAGTCAAAAAGTCAGTAGTGAAAAGATTATCGCATGATCATTATATTGAATGCATTAAACATAAAAAAACTTATTATGGTCAGCAGAGAGTTATTCGAAGTAGAGGTCATAAAATATATACTGAAATTGTAAATAAGATAAGTCTTAATTATAAGGATGACAAGAGATTTATATTGCCTGATAATATTTCAACATTAGCTCATAATCACTTTGAAATTCAAAATATTTTATATTCTAGTAATGATACACAAAATATTGTATAAGTAATCTGAATTGAATATATTTAGATTTAGTATAAAAATATGATAAGTAATTGTATATTTTGTATATATTTTGTATAACTTTTAATGAAAAATGTATGTATATAAAAAATAAAAAAAACAACATCAAAAATTGTTTGATGTTTAATTATTTTAATAAATTCTTTTTATCTATCCATGAATTGTGTGTTTCATCAAACCCTAACCATTTAACAAAAACTTTATCATGTTTTCTTCGGATTATTTTTTCAACTAAGAAAGCATTTTCATCTTTCACTTTTTGGAGTTCTTGATCATAAAAGGAGCCTTTGATCATTTCCCCCTTATAGTCCTCCAGTTCATATGTTACAGGATTGGTAGACTTGACTTTTAAAATTTTAAAAACTTCGGTTGTCCAGTTTGGTTCATATCCCTTCGTAAAAATACCTTTATATTTACTTATTCTAACAGGATCACCAATGGAAAACTTATTTTTGGGGAATACCTTGCAAATATTATAAACTGTTTTTAAAATAAACTCTTCATTTTGCTTGTCTACATCTATAGGACTCATTTTTATGGTTCTGTGATATGAATTATTATAATCATTTACTAAGTCCTGCAAGGCATGAATCCATACATGATTACCCTGCATACTAAACATTTTCCACATACGATTTTTTAATGTTCTATTAAAACGTTCACAAATAGATGCCTTGAGGTGTGTATATGTATGGTAATGGTTTATGTTGTTTATTCGCATTAACTCTCCAAAGGAACTATTGAAAAACTCCTTTCCTTGATCGGATTGAATATTTTTAGGGATATGTTTAGATATATTAAATATTCTCTTCATTGCTGATGACACATCTGAAGCTGTTTTAGACTTAACGGGAGCTGCATATGAAAACTTCGAGAACGTATCAATCACTGTTATCAAATATCTAAATCCTTTATTTTCCTTATAAAAGGGGATCATTTCAACTAAGTCTATTTGCCACGTGTCATTAATGCCCTTTTGAACGAATTTGCGACGAGTAAAGTTTTTTCTAGCAGGCTTATGTATTTCATTAACAACTTGCTGCTTACTCATTTTTATTAATTTTTACTTTTAATATTATTGTTGATTGATTGCTTATTTAATAGTGTTTGCTTATACTCGAGAACATCGCGTTTTATTTGATTACACATTTTTTTGGAAATTTCGAAACATAACCGGGTTAAATCTATTTCAACATTTCTATCATAAGTTCCGTCTAAATCAGATAGTTGAACATCAAATTTTTGCAATTCTGCACACTTAGGAATAATGTTATTATAGTAAAGAAATGTAATTTGTTGTTTAAGTATCGTATTCCAACATAAAAATGTAGTAAAAAAAATGCCTAATCTTAAAAATGATCTCCAGGACTCACTATCAAATTCAATTTTATTTCCAAACTGATTTATTATAAAAACATACTGCTTATCGGATTTTCGAAATCTAAAATTACATTTTATAGTACCTAATAATGGATGGTCTATAATTGTATCAGGCATCAAGAAATCATACTGATCAAGTTTTAATTGAATATACTCCTTGTATGTAACCAATTTCATCCATTCATCTTTATCTAATCCAACGAAATTGTTTTTGCTTTGCTGCATCCAGATCATGGGAGTGAATTTTCTTGAAGTTGAAAACCCACACTTTAACTTTAAATTATGTATTACATAATATTCGAGTCCGAATATGACTTCGTGATCCTGCTTCTTTCTAGTAGACCTAATTCTTTTTGATTGAAGCGTGTCCATTAGAGTTGAATGCTTTTTTTAAACTGAGAACTATTACTGAAATGAGCTGTATATAAAGGAGAAAGCTATCACCGACTCATTTAGTTTATTACAAAATCTCAAGCCAACATGAACACAATCGACAGGAAATCAAGCGTTATTGTTGATTTTCAATATCTCTTTGGAAATAACAAACAAATTTTTATTAAGGAATTAGCGTTTATGCAAACCGGTACAGTAACTCCAAACTTCTTTCATTTCAAACCACCATACAACCTAAATGAATTGGATAATGAAATGATTAAACAACAAAACATACATCATCACACCATAAATGGATTGGAATGGTCAGACGGTGAAATATCATATTTAAGTTTAGGTGAAATACTTTCACCACTAAACAGATTTAACACTGTCATTGTAAGAGGTGAAATTAAAAAAAAGTTTTTATCAAAGTATTTAAAAAATAACATTATTGATATCGATATTGGAAAAAGTCTGACCTTATATCCAAATTTTTTTACCAACTGTAGAATTCACAAAAAAATGCCTCTTAGATGTGCTCTAAATAATTTATTTAAGCTTTTTGTTATCTTGGAAAATTCAAATTATAATGTATACTGTAATGGTGATTCATATGTATAGAATTTCAGTATGTATTAAGCATTGGAATTAACTAGTTGATTAAAATGGATACATTTAAGCGTTTGTTTGAAAATGATCCACGCAAAAAAGGATACTCCCAAGTTGTTTATTGTAATTATTGCGGATCTGATACTCATTTTGAAAAAAACTGTCACAAAAAACGCGATCAGGAGAAACCTAATTAAATTATAGAAAACATTTATAAATGATTAATAAATAAAAATTACTAAAAAATGTTTAAACAATTTATACATCCTTTTACAATGCTAATTTGTGGTCCTTCAGGGTCTGGAAAGACAACGTTTTTAGAAAATTTAATAAACAAAAGGAATGAAATGCTAAGTATTTCAATTGATCGAATACTGTGGTGTTATGGTGAGGAACACGCTAAACCAAATTTCAATAACATCGAATACTATAAAGGAATTCCTGAAACAATTGAAAATGAAGCTAATGAACCCATTCTTTTAATATTAGATGACTTGATGATGGGTGCATTTAATAAAAATGTATGCGAGCTTTTCACGAGAGGATCTCACCACAGGAACTTATCTGTAATAGTAGTTACACAAAACATATTTCATAAATCATCACATACGCGAGATATTTCTCTAAACACAAAATACATCGTTGCATTCAAAAACCCCAGAGATAAACTGCAATTTCAATGCTTGGCAAGACAAATTTATCCTGAGAACTCTCAGGAACTATTTAGAATATATAAGGAGGTTACAGATGAGCCACATGGTTATTTACTTATTGACCTTACTCAGGGAATAAATGATCTCTTGAGATTTCGAACAGATATTTTTAATTCTGTGTACACAATTTGCTTTGCTGATGAAAATGGTTTACAAAAAGAATCTAAATCGATTGAAAGCGAACAAACATTTATTGTATGTGCTCAAAAGGGCTAACCACAAACTTCGAAATGCAATTATAAGTAATTGTGATATTGAGTCGGTGAAAGCATTAGTGGAAATAGTATTGAACACATTACAAGGAAATCATAAGATATCAAAATCTCAACTATATGCTCTCAAAAAGTATAAAAATGCATTACGTTATATTTCATGTCCAAAACGTTCAATCAATTCCAAGAGAAAAGTTCTCATCCAAAAGGGAGGATTTTTACCAATTCTAATCAGTTCATTGCTTTCGGGGATTTTTGGAAAAATATTAAGCAATGTTTAGAAATACGCATCAATTAAGCAAAGTAATTTTAATGCGTCCGAATGCTTATCAAAAACTAATAAAAGGTGAAAATGAAAACGATTTAATAAATATAACATTTTTACCTATTTTAAATGATAAGAAAACTAGTGACTATAATAAATGGATTAAAATACGTCAAGAATTGTGTTACTATCAAAATAAAAAAAGAAATAAGACAATGGATGTACGACCTAGTCTGAAAACATCACATCCATCATCTAAAACCATTGGAACACAAACACAAGACGACTCAGTCGGGTTTGATGTAATGCCCACAACTGATATTCTTTACAATAAAAATAATGTTAACCCAAAAAAGGATTTCTCAATAGATAATGAGTCACATGATTTACCTAATCTCAGCGACGATGATGATTTAAAGCCTGAAAAAACTTTTAAGTCAACGCATAAAAAACGTAAAGTAAAGGACACTTCATTTTTAGAAACACCATTTTTAGACACTCAAGTATCAAAAATACAAGCAGTATCTAAAGTAAAGCTTACCGATAAGCAGCAAAAACTAAGAGCAAAACTTAAGAGGGATAAAAGTGAACCAAAACCATTACAAGACTTGAAATACGTAAGCGGACGGGAAAAGTTGAGTAGATCTGTTAGAAACAGAGAGCCTTTGCAAATTGGAAAAAACAAAATTAATTGGGTTTCCTACAATTAATAAACGGAGCAGAACATAAAACAAAAAATGACATTTACAACACAGTTTTTCGTTACATTACTCAGTAATGATTCGTTAAATGTCTTTAATGATAACGTTAAGTGTGCATTTACAAACATTGTAAATATTCCTGAAAACATGAATGACGAATGGGAAGTTGGAATCACAGACTTATATCTTAATAAATGTACACCAGTCAATCGTAATAATTCCTCGATTATATCTACCGAAACAACAGAATTCGTTATTAGCTTAGTAAATGGGGAAACATTTAGATATGAAAATGAATCAATTGAGTCTGAAGTTTTTGAAAATGGATTGATTTTTGTTTACACTGACATTATTAAACCAAGATGTGTAGGAAACAAGAGACCCCGATGTCTTCGAGTATTATATTTCAATGGAAAAGAGCAACTCATGCAATTCAAAAATATTGAATATTATCCTATTGAAATATGGTCACCAAAGGAAATTTCAATATTAATTACTGATTCCAAAGGATATAAAGTACCATTTGAATCTTCAACAGTTCCAATATTTATTACTCTACACTTCAGAAAACGAATCGAAATGCTATAAATAAAACTGTACAAATCTAAATTAGTTCAGAGTAGAAATAGTCATCATGACGAGATCTTATCAACAATATTATTTAAATCAATGTGGTGGTGGGTTAAATCATATAGGAAGTCTATATGTGACACCCAGAGTTATCCAA